CTGAAAACTATGCGTTCGTCTTCAGCGCCCCCTGCTTAAAAAATTGCTGCGCAGGCCCAGTTACTTCGTTTCAAAGTCAGGTATAAATTTTCGAGAAAAAACTATATCTTGACTGAAGAGTAAGAGATGCCATCAGTATGCAAATTCTCCATACTGTTTTCTATAAATTTCCTGGAAAGCTGAAGAGGAAAATTCGTCTAACAATCAAGAGCTTCTTAAGTTGGTGAACTCTTCCTTTTTTCTTGAGACCTTAAGAGTGATTCAGGGGTAACATTATCGGTTAAATTAAATGCTACCCACTCCTGGGGGTGGAAGGTGCTATCTTCGGTGTTACATTTTAATTTTGGTTTAGTGTTCGTGTTCTGCGCGATTAACACTCGTGTACATTCTTTCAGGTTACCATTTAAATGGCGACTCTTGTGGCTTTGTGCCTCTGAGTCTCAATGCTAAATCTGTTGGTGTACTCTCTGGAATTGCGTTTGGACCGGAAGTCAGGGCTTTAAACTGACTATCGTCGTCCTCTTTTCCGGTCAACACCACGTCACGCAATTCCGGAAACTCGTGAAAGGGAAGGTACGCCTCGCCGTACGGCAAACCCGTTTCTTTTCTCATGGAGGTCGTTTCAAACGAGGTCTCATGCTCTTCCCAATGCCTATCGCATGCACAACAAAGAAAATTGGAGAAAAATTTGGAGCATCCACAGCCCTTTACTCGGCATCTCCGCAGTCCGGTGGGTTGATGTTCTTCGTGGGTATGTTTACACTTGCATTTGGCTCGCCAGGTGCTTGGGTCGTATCCTGGACGACGTTGAAGCCAAAATTCACCTGCTTCTTCGGGACGGGACGGGATAAAGGCAAAAGCTTTGCACTCGCAGCGCGTCGCACGACAAGGGACCATCACACTCCTCCCGGTGTAACTTGCATGATTACTGAGGAGATGGCCACAAAAACACTTTGAACTTTTAGAGACGCGAATACAATCATGCTGAAAATCTTGACACCTCCATCCAATGTACACCCCACTCTGGATAGCATCAACAGCCGCCTCGCGTTCGGGATCAAACAGCTTCTTGACCCTTGGAGCAAAGTCGTCGCCGTGCATGGCTCGAGCCACTGGCAACAACTCAGCCTTTGAAGCAGGGATGATTGGACGCATGGTATAACCCTTGGGTGTTAACATGCCTTTTGATTTCGGAACCACTGATTTCTGTTGTTTAGGGTGCTGACCAGTAACTTGCCGCTGCGATGATTGTCCCTCTCTTGGATTTAAATGCGGCGATTTCGGCATACCCGTATTTTTTTGCTTGGTTAAAGGAGAGCTTGCAGCATATCTTGAGTAGCGATTCCCGGCAACTGGGCTCCGATCTCTCTGAATCGTAGATTTACCTTCGACGGAAGAGTCTCTCACCTCTAGGCTAAGACTACTGAGTGGTTTATTGAGCGCATCGGCCGATGGAGCAGGTTTTGATTTTCTGTTTTGTTTGGTTCTAGACGTTTCTGCGTACGCCATCTTGTGTAGCAACAAGGGTACGCGCGCAAGCGATATAAGGTGGTCAGCGTAATAAGATACTTCATTATGGTTAAATGACATTATTCAATGTTTCCAAGTCACGCAAAACGTTTAAACCGAGCTTGTAGATCCAAAATGTTAAGCCGTGACGCTTTTTACTGATGGAAAAGGGAAGTATTTGGCAAGATTTCCGCACAGCCCATTCTTCATTATATATGCAGTTCGTGGATAAAACAATATATTTCCTCTGAGACTGCGGCGTTGTCTTCGAATACTTTGGGGTTATAACGGAGATCATTCCTATCCTCTTGCGACCAGTTTTCTATCAGATCGGTCACGCAACTTCTTGTTTTTAGATATTCAGTTTTAAGATGAGGGATTCAAATGGCTTGGATTATCGTCTCAGGAAAGAGATGAGGTATGTCAAGAGTTTTTTATTTGATAAAAATAATTAACAATTATAAGTGGTAATACATAAGTTCAGATCAAATTGTTAATGAAGTGAAGAAATAATCTTTTCTTTCTCAGTTCTCCACAACTCTTTAAGGTCATCTTTTAAATTCTCTCCTCCAAAAATATAATCAATACTTTGAAATGTCAAGTTCCACACTTGTTCTTCTGTGAGGTTGAATGTCCTGGCCATCAGAGAGTATTCTTCTGATAATGTTGTAGAAAACACACCCTTATCATCAGTCTGTCAGACAAAATGAAACAACATCAAAATATAAAAAAATACATAATGGAACAAAACAGTAAGAAAGTAAGTCATCTAGAACCGTCACATTATATAAAAGATTATATGGTAGAGAGATATTTAAACAATTCTCTAATTTCTCACATCACTTTCAAAAATAAGTGTGCTTATTTTTGAAATGAAGGTTGTGACTGTCTCGCAATACGATTGAGAGACAGTGACAGAGTGATGCCAAATGATTCCAGTTTTTTTTTTTTTTTTTCAAAAATGACCCAGCTAATCAAAAATCCTAGCTTACAGTTTGTGGGGCACACCCTTATGCTAAAGCACAAAACAGTTTGTATTTAAAATGTGCTTTATAATACGTTCTGTAAAAATTATCTTTGGAAGGAAGTTTAATAAGAACCCCTCCCCCCAAGCAATGTTGAACCGACTACATATTTTCTGAATGTTTCCAGTATTCGAATCAACATTGCAAAGGAAGAGAAGGGTATCAGTAGTCAGCTACATGTTTTTTAAAACAGGTTCAAGATTATCAACCTCTGTATTAGAACACAAACTTAATTAGCTGGTTTGTCTAGGAATGTGCAAAACAAACAAGTGATAATGTTGAATATGAATACTTACACAAACAATACAAGGATGCTGTTTGCTGTACCAATAGCCCATGTGATGTTCAGAATATGATAGAACAGTCTTGGTCTTCACATTGGATGTGAGACAAAGTTCTGTTGTGAAACAAATGAAGTAACTTGAGTTTTCTGTCAAGGCTCTGCACATATAGAATTATGTTTCCCAATGGTTGTTTCAATGGATCATATTCAGTTATAAAAACTGGAATAAATGTGTTTATGTGTGGATGCAGAGGAAGAAAAAAATTTTTTCCTTAGGAAGCACAGTGGACCCAAGTCCTGACTTAAATGTCTTGAGGAATCCAGGGATATGCTTAGAATATGTAACACAATATAAATGATACATCCAGCACCAAATGCAACAGGTGGTTCCTCCAGTGTATAATAATTTTCTCAAAGACCATTCCTCTCTTGGTGGCTATAATAATCTAGAAAAAGATATCTCCTGGGTTTACCCACCAAAATCTAATGATCATTTGTCAAAGAAACCGCAATTTATTTTTAATTGATAAAACACATTTTCTATATGCCCCCTATCTGGTATGGACAAATGTGGAAGCTACCCTTATGATACGAGATAGCATTCATTGGATGGTGAACATTGTTCAAGTTCCAGACTCACCAATAGGAATAGAGTGTTCCTCTACTATGTTCACAAAATCTTCTGATCCACCATTTTCGGGACGAATACAGGTTCCATGTCCTATTCTGTCTGGGATTAAGTTTAGCAACACTCTTGATTCATCCAGGTCAGGAACCTAATAATTACAGATATTGATGAGATCACTGTCTACTTTGCAAAGTTTTTTGTATGTTGAACAGCAATCTACACCAGATGAGTCATCATTGGGTGGAGAGCAAAGGATTTTTTTTCTGTTTGAGTATTTTGAAAGCTGAAATCATCTTGAAAATATTAGTTACTTAGCTACTCTGTACATTTGTTTGTTTTTCTGTTTGAGGTCAAAACAAGCTGGCAGCCTGAAGTGCTGAAAATTTGATTGGTAGAGAAGATGGCATGAGTTTTTGTGACCAAACAGTAGAAATGTTGCAATCCACATTGCAAGTGACTTACTTGAAAGACAAAAAATAATACTTCATTACTTATTCAAACAACTCATTTAAACTTACCTCTGCAATGTGCAAGGCAAGTTTTAAGCCATTTTCTCTGGCCAGTTTCAGGGCAGGAATAAAATTGTTTGAATCATGTGCCTGAAAATAAGATGTCCTGCATGAGAAATTGAAACAGCACATGATACAGTAACTCTTAAACTCAATTTCCAAGATTTTCTGTATCTTTTCTATTTTTGATAACCAGGCATAACTATGCACAAAAAATGTAGAACATACTGTAAGATAGTATTCAATGGGGCACATGTTGACACCTGTCAACCTGAAGATATTATTAGATTTTTGTTCTTTTAGTCAACCTTGATTGCAAAAATATGTATTAATTATGTACTGGGCACAGAGATTTCCTGATCATGTGACTTGCTTGATTTTGAACTCAATACAACTAAGTTTTAGCTGCAGTATTGTTGCTGCAAAAGAAAATTACGGAGTGATATGCTTTTTTCATCCATTAGCAGTACTGTTGTTTTTATACTTACCTTTGGATCTCCACTTAAGTCTAGGCCCACAATAATCCCTTTGGCTTTTTCCTTGTACTGTATGGCTAAGTGCACAGTATCCATGGCATCATCTGGGCCAAGCCTCCGATTTATTGCAGGTATAAATCTTAATTAAAAACAAATCAAAAATTGAGGCATCTGTGGCTTCAGATGTGAATTTATACCAGCAGTCATTTCTCTCAATATTAAAGGGAGGATTATGTTATGAAGTAATTTTTAAGTTACAATACAATTTTGCTCTTCATGATTGTACAAGTGAAGCACTTCATAGAGTGAAGACCAAGATACATAGTGTTTCTTAATCAGTCTAATAACTATAAAATTAATTATAAATTTTCAATTTTTGAAATGAAGTCAATCTACCAAATTATGCCTCATGATGGATGTGGTATGGAAGTGGAACATTTTGGTTTGAAATAAGGGCTGGGAATGGAGAACTGGGCAGCACACTCCTGAGAATAATTCCAAAGGAATACCTTCTGCACTGCATACTACCTCACTGTTATGTTGGGGGCTGTCCTTTTAGCTTCCTCAATAGCCTTTAAGACTGCTTCTATGTAGGACTGCTTTGTCATCCCTGTGGAAAATATTATCAACATCACATTTGATTATTCTTAAAACTGTGCCATCCTTGTGTCAAAGGTGACCCATAAATTACATGGAATGTCAGATTGGCATGATTGTAAAATAAGGAATAAATGACCTCAGATTTTCAATTCCATAGATGCATAAATTACACAAAATGTCAGAATCACAGAATTGTAAAATAAGGAATAAATGAACTCAGATCTTCAATTCCATTCAGAGATTTTATTGATCCATTAGTGGTTTGCGAGAGATGGTTTATGAACATGGTTCAAGTAAAAGGATCTGCAGATACTTTGATTATCACTGCACCTGTCTCAGGATTGGCCCTGGGTGTGCTTCTTAGTTCTAAGTACTTTGTATTATCCTGCTCAAAGTCTTCAATAACACTTTTTGTCACCTGAAAGAGATTTGAGAGAGAAGAAGTTTAATAATGAAAAATTTACAACAAAAATTATTGGCTTTATAAAACTTCAGCGGTACCCAAACAAAGATTTAGTTACATCTGTATTCTTGTGTGGTGCATGTGATGAATAAATGCCAACTTAAGTCGCACTCTTACCAGAAACACTGCTTCAGTGTCATCTACAAGCTGGTAAATAATGCCAAACATTGACAAACAACTGTAGATTAAAACACAAAACAAAAAAACTTAATTTTTAAGAGTAAATCCATCAATAATTTTGAATATTAATTCCTATTTTTAGGTATTAATTGATGAAAATACATTCATTGACAGTGAGTTGAATTTTCACGCTGGTCTAACAACTAGAAAGGAAACAGCAACAAACAACCACATGGATAAACAAGTAGAAAAACAAGTGAGCAAAGGATGAAAGGTAAATAGAAGAAGAATGAATAGGCAAATAAAATGATGTCTACATGGAAGAATGAATGAGTAAGTAAAGAATTGAATGAATGGGTGAATGAATAAAAGGAAAAACATTTTGCCAGATGACTGCTATATATCTCGGCACTGAAAGTGGATAAATACATCCATCATCTTAACCCTTTACACCGTAATGTCATTATGCATATTCTCCATACTGTTCTTTCTACATTTCCTAAGGTGCTGACAAGGAGAATTTGTTTATTGATCAAAAGCATCTTTTGTTGATAATCATTTCTTTCATTCTCATAACCTTAATGTTTGATTCAGGGGTGATGTAGTAAGGAGAAATTAGATGCTAGTCATTCTCAGGGGTCAAGGGTTAAGCCACTAAATCCTTCTGATACTAACATCATAACTAGTTTCTCCATAACTTACTCGCTTAAATCTCGCTGTTCTCCCTTGTGAATTGTTGTTTGCCACTGGGACACAAGACAGTCATTGTTTCCTTGCTCAACTTTTCTTTTGATGAGCTTCTCGATCGTCTCTGTGCTTATGGATCCATTTATGTGGGCATGAAGTTCCTAGAAGGAAGTTACATTAAGATATGATGAATTTTTCAACGTGGGAAGGGAAATAACCGACTCTAGTGCGCATGAATTCAATCCATTTCTATCATGGCCATCATAGCAAGGAAGAACTATGCTTTGTTGCAGACATCACTTCTCAAAGTCCCCAGATGTTTCCCTTAAGAAGATAAAATGTTCTATATCAAATAAATAAATAAAAAATGTGACAAACAGTTAAGGCATCTGCATATAGCCTCCTCTTACAGCACTCTTTCACTCACTGACATTTTGTAAGCAAGGATCGTGAGCCGCAGACCAGTCAAAACTTTAAAGATTAGGGTTAGGGTTCTCCATCGTAGAGATCAAAATAACCAAAAAAGCCTCTACCAGCATTAAGTGGTGTAAATAATATATTTTATAATCTTAATATTTCGTGAATTTTTAAATCAGCTATTCGAATTCTATTTTTCCTTAGTCGACAAAAAATTCACGTGGTATTTGCCCTGCCGGTTCCTACCCAAAAGACATTTTTTTCCCGACCATTTCATGACCTGTGGAGACCATGGAAAGATCGTTTCCAAATACTTACAATTTTCGGTATTTTCTTGAAAAAATTGAAAGGTATTTTCTCTTCTGCGACATCGGCAGTTTTCCCTGTACCGTCAGCCATGTTGGACGAAATCGATTTGCTACTGTTTGTTGTGATTGGCCAGTCTTGTCATTGACAAGTTAGAGACTTTCCCGCCAAAATCTGAATTTCGCGCTGCAGTACTAAACGATTAGGTTCATTCAGTCGTGTGCTCACGTTTTCTTTAAATTTTTTTTATATTATCAAGGCAAAAATGGGAAGTGAATCATCAGCACCGGTTACTTATGGAACAAGGCTTCTAAATGATATAAAAGTTGAATGGAAGAAAGTAGAAATGGACGCAAAGTTGCCATCTCGTGACGGACATTGCGCGGCCGCCATTGCAGATAAACTTTACGTATTTGGCGGAGTTCGTTGGCTTTCTGATCTTGAGGAAGTGACAGAATCCAACGAAATTCTGGTTTTCGATGTTGGTAAGTGCTAGGGACAATAAGATGTATTATTGCGTTCGGGATTTTAATCTGCGACTACTTTAATGAACGTTCGTCATCGGCGAGCCTTGCCTAATTAACGACCGCTTTGAAACTGGATAAAGCCTTTTTTTAAGGATCTGAATAATTGTCATCAGATTGATTATTGTCTGGCTATCACGACGGGCAAACATTACCTTTCCACCCGAAACTTGGTGCATACTTGTCGAGAAGTACCTTGGACGATGATTTGTTCTCGAGCTTTTGAAGAATTTCGGAAAAAAACTACCTTCGATTATGTCACGCTATATGAACATTTTTTTTGTAGTTTTAAAATCATTAAACAACCACATCGATATCTCATTATATATTGTGAAGTAAAAGGAATCTGGGACCAAACAAAGTGAAGCTAACAAAATATTTAGATGGAATTCATTACTTTTTTCCTGTATCTAAATTGGTCAGTTTTGTGTACTTTACCTCGGTTATAGTAGTTACTCTGTCATAACCAAACTATAGTCTCTCTGTAATTTTTCGAAAGCTTCTCACACATTGAACAAGATTATCACGGGAGGTGACGTTCCATCGGCCAGATCCTCCGCAGCTGTGGCTGCAGTGGGAATGAAACTGTATGTTTTTGGTGGACTGAGTAGAGACTGTGGATGGCTGAATGATCTACACGCTTTTGATACTGGTATGTGTAATTTAAAATCAATTCACACAGTGATTGTTGCAGATGAGAAGTGAAATATAAAGTCCATAACACTGGCACTGGCAAAATACTTCCATTTACAGACACTCCCATAAGACAGATATTTCCCAAGTGGTAAAATAAATACCTGTGGTTCTAATTTTTTTTTCTGATAATTTAATTCTTTTCAAGTCAGCCACTTGATTTATAGGATAGTGACTAAATATTTTCTCTACCATCTTTGCAGATAAGGGATGAATTATATTCAACTGCATCAACATAATGAATTCAGACTTGAGCTGTATGTTGATTAAAACAGTGATATATACCAAATTTTGATAAATCCTTAAATAAAATGTATTATTGATTGCCAATTAAATGAGGTTTTGCAAAAGCCATTGAAGGGGAACTTTGATTTTTTAGTTTTTGTTTTGGACATTTTTTACCATAGTTGTACAGTTTTTCTTTTTTTTTTTGCATGGTCTTTAATTTGTCAGTTTTGTTATCTATGTTGGTTCTAGGCTCTCTTGTTTATGTTACATTTAATTTCAATTTTTTTTTATGACCAACAAGTGTCTTCTTCCAGGGTCTCATGCTTTGCTATTTTTTTCCGTTTTAGCACTTTTTTTCCAATTTTTTTTCTTGCATCAGTAAGAAATTGAGTTGGTTTTCTGGTTTTTGTTAAGGCTGTTAAGACCTCATCAAATTTGTTTTTTCATTATAGAAAACTTTCAAAGCCATTTAAAGTCACAAAGTTTAATGCTACTTGCTTGTTATTTCTCTACTGTTTCAGAAACAAAGCAGTGGCAAAATATCACATGCAAAGGCGTCCCTCCATCTCCACGTGATAAGCTATCTTGTGTTGCTATGGGAACCAAGATTATCTTCTTTGGCGGATTTGGTCCATTGGAGAATTTGGAGACAGAAAAATCTGAGCAGGAAGAAGCAGAGTTTGGTTGGTTCAACGATCTCTTCAGTTTTGATACAGGTAGGGACTTTAGAAATCAAATTGTAGGCATTGATTGCTTGAATTTAGAGAACACCTTAATCTTAACTCTGCAACTTTGAAAGGATAATTTGGTTTCATCTACTGAGTTGATAATGTAAATTGGCCCTCGTAAAGTCATTTCAAAGCTGATTTTTTAGTGTTAGCCCTTTGTCAGAGCAAATGATGAAGGGTTAACACTTGAAATGTTAGCTTTGAAATTCTTTATGGTGGCCAATTTACATTATCAATTTATTTGATAAAACCAAATTATCTTATTATACTCCTCACCAATGTAGCAGCACAGTTTCTCTAAAAAATTACCTTTCAAAAGGAGCCATGTCGCAAGATTTGGAGTTATCTAGTATTATTTAACAATTGGTTCATGTATCAGCATATGTTCATTGTGATAGGAAGAACTCAGGAACTTTGAGTAGGGCAATGTGTAGAGTTGATTGAAGTCCAGCTTCTTTTGGGCTTTGTAAACTTCCCATTTTCTCCGATTTTTGCATGATTTATTTTAATCATTGTTAATCATGCTGTTTACATGTGTCAACACAAGTTGCCAAGTTTTCTTTGCAGTCTGAAAGTAATCAAACGACCTTCCCTATTCAGTATCTTATAAATAACTAAAAGTCTGTGTGAAAGAAGCGACAATGAGTCTTAAACAAGGGAAATCCATGCATAGAATCAAGGGAAAGGTTTGAGATGATTATACAATTCAATAACCTGTTATCTGCTGTTGATTCTCCAGAGAACTGTACATGGGAAAAGCTCACTCCTTCATTTACTGGATCTCCAACACCCAGAGCAGCTCATGGAATGTGTGCTGTTGGATCAAGACTTGTAATCTTTGGAGGCAGAGACAGTGTTGGTAGAAAGAATGACATCTTTGTTTTGGATACAGGTGATTTAATTCATAATATTCATACACTTTTCTCTCCAGCATCCTTTCACTTCTTGTCATTAGATCATACCCTCACTCCCTCATCTGCCCCCAATTTAGCCTGTTATTGGGAAAAAAAAGGGGGAAATGTGGGCACTCAAAAAACTTGGGAGTAAGGAAAGGTGAAAGAGGCTACATGGGGCCAAGAAATTGATTCAAATGCAAGTGTCGGTGTTAACTGTGAAAGTTAACCAGTTGTAAGGTCCATGTCAGCTGGTATACTGGAAGGAGGTTTTTAAAAAAATTCTCACAGGCACTTATTCTGCAACTGTTTCTTCAATGATTGCTACTGCTGTGTGTCTTCTTGCTTAGAACTTGACTATGCCCTTACTTTTTCACCCTTCTCCTTTGAGAAGAAGAAGAGGGGCAAGAGAGAGGGCCTGGAAAGGGTTATTATTTTGGACTCACTTTTTTATCTTTTTTGATACACTATAAGAAGCTTTATAATTTTAAGTCAAAAGCAGTTGAATAGATAGTACTATGATTAACTCTTAGACACAATGGAATGGATCTCAAAGCCAACCTCAGGACGACAGCCAGAGCCTCGTTCATTCCATACATGCACAGCTGTAGGTAACAGAGTGGTAGTTTTTGGTGGAAGAAGTTTGGAGAATGCACATTTTGATGATCTGCACATTTTTGACACAGGTAAATTATGAAGCAGTGACAGTCTTTTTTTTGTGGGCCCAGATATAAAATCTTGGGATCTAAACTTGGCCAGTCCTGTCATACTCTGCTCAGTGTATGCGAATATCACACAAGATAAACTGATTTGCCCAAGAGGTTCTTCTGTCTACCTCTCCATGTAACTAGCTGCAGAAATAATGACTCGGTGTGCATTATTTAAGCAAATTCTTTAAAATTGATCGTCAATTGTCAAGGCAAATACAGAATGAGTTTGTTACAGTCCACAAAGTTATACCAGCCAAGAACTATATTGAACTAAAATCCATGAAAATTATTTTGCACATTTTTGTTTATCATCTGGAGCATATGTGAAATGTGTGAAATAAGATCCACCAAGGAAATACCAAATTTGAAGGCAAGCTGGTACAATTCTTTTTCAAGCTCCTTCTCTGCACTTGCTTTACACTTAAAAAAAAACCTCTGGACTGGGGCTAGTACATATTACCCTCTGATTTCCTGATTATAAGAATGATCACAGCTTTTACCTCTCTCAATTGCTAGACACAAATGAGTGGCTGCAGCCATCAACATCTGGTAGCATCCCTCATGGCAGGGGGGTACACACAGCCACACTGGTGGGAGACCAGTTGGTACTTTATGGAGGTTCATCTGATTTTGATGGAGAAACAATGCAGTGTCAGGAGTATCATGGGGATGTATATCTTATTGCAAAAGGTATAGTGTGTGATACATTCCATCCTATGATAAATAAAATAATTGTTAATTGTTAGTGTTCCCCCCCAAGAGAACACATTCTCATCTGGAGTTCCCCCTTTTCCAAGCTTTAATTTTAATAAAGGAAATATATTGCATGTGATTAGCAACGAAATTAGTGTAACTAAAATGTGATGGACAGGTGTAAAATTTTTCTTACTTAGAGCTTAGCTTTTCCAGTCTTAAATGCCTTGGCATGATCACTCATCTCCATTTTTTTTAATCCAACTTTATTTTTGTAGAACAATTCTTGTCAGGGATGTCCCAAGGTCCAGACCCTAATGATGTTCCTCCTGTTTAAGCTCAAGCTCCCTTAATGACTGGTGGATTTGCTAATTTTCAAGAATGTCAAACAATTGAGGAGGAAGACAGCAGTGAATATGAAGATTCATCAGATGAGCAATAGAGAAACAAAGTTATTCTTCTTACTTTAAGAAGAGAGGCTGCATTCAAGGGAATTAACTTATGTACATGAGCAGTAGCTGGTAATGAAATGCTTTTGTTTTAATCACCTGTACAACAATTTTTCCACTAAAACTGTTTTGAATTTTTTTTTTTTAAAGATTATCCAGCGGTTGCTTTGTAGATGATAAAGCCACCATCAATGACACAATACAATATTGCATAATAAAAGCTAATCCACATTTTATTGTGATTTATTTGTCATTGCATTGCTCTTAATTTGATAATGGTGCAATATCTGTATTTGCTTCATATCTGACCTTTCCTAACATTCCCAAAGTGTGTGATGTGAAACCAATTTTGAGATAATGCCTAAAAATTTATGAATTATCCCTAACTCTCTTGGGAGAGTTTAGGTCAAAACGATAATTGTTATATGACTTCAAGTGATTAAATCTTAGATTGTTTTAATGATATTGTCTGGCCCTAAGAATCCTCATACCTGACATGAAGTTGGTTTATAGCCTCACTGTATGCAATAAAAAGCCACTAATTTATATCCAAGAAGAATGAGCTCCACTTATTTTCTTGGGACAAGATCTTGCACATTTGATTTGGGTACAGCTAGAAATAGTAATTACTTATCTAAAATTTATTTTTCCTTGATGCTTTATGTTAAAAAAAAATACTAGGTGAAATGGAATCCTGATGTCCCCATATTTTTATCATTATTACTGATATGCACCCCTCCAGGTTAGGTTGTTCAGTTTAATGCATATGGATATTGATTACCCCCATTGCAGAATTATAAACATTTTGTCTGTATGGAATCTCATATGAAAAATTTCAATCAGTGATTTCTGTTGGATAAGGAAAGAAATAATTAGAAACTTGAAGTTAATGGGGAACAATCAAGATATTTACCTTTAAAAATGTGTTTTTTTAAAGTAATACACATTGCTGTATGTCCCAAATTAAATATTACAGCCATGGCTATCATATGCCTGTGGGGTTCTTCTACATAACCTGAGGAGTTCAATTTATAACCATGATTTACATATTGAGCACATCTAACATGAAGAGACTCGTCATAAAGCTCTTCACAACCCATGACTAATAATCTGAAATTTGATCTTCTAAACACCAGGAGAGAAAGGTGTAAAATTTGCATTCTTAAGAGAGAAAATATAATTGAATTTTCTGGTTGAATTTTACACTTTTTTCAATGATATAAAAGAAATAGTGATTCAAACAAGAAACCCACGTGTACTCACGTTTCTGATCCTTAAAAAATTATTTACTATTACAATTATAATATTGATCTAAATTATTATTTGTCAGCTGTGTTGCCTGTGGCTATCCATGATATCATTCCCCAGGAATTTTAATACATTATAATGTTTTCTGTGAATGTGAGCCGTCTTTGTTGACAGTAATTATTCAAATCAATCTCTACTATCGCTTTTACAAATATTTCATTTAAAAATTCTAAGGTGAAAACCAAACTTACTTTTTTGGTTTTGATGCGATTTTTTTAACTCAGATAAAAAACAGAAATTGATTTTTTCCATAAGTAATTTAATGTGGTTTCCATTAGATAAGAGTTATTTCAAACGCTTAAAGTTTTCTGATATTTTGTATATTAATTCACCGCAAAAAAGAAGACAATCGAAAACACTAGCAATGGAAATGCTAGTTTTGTCAGCGCTATTTTTAGACCTCTTAGTGTAATGCTATGAGCGCTGTTATGATTGGCTGGGTAATTGACCCTGCCCAATCACAAGGCGTGCTAGAACTCGAAACCCGTGGTTACAAACCCGTCCGTATAAGGTGACTAATTAATGTCATGCGCGCCAAATGAAAACATCACTTCCGAACTGCACTGAGAGGAGGTTCCGGTGCATGCGAAATATTTCTCTCGCTTTACTGTCGAGCATGATTTTAGCTTCCTTATTCTCTTATCCTGTCGATCATTAGTGTTTAGAACTTCTTTGGGAACAAGCCGACAAAATGGTGAGTACAGCATTCTAGAATGCAGCCTGAGTCTCTACACTTGAGGACAAATTTAGAGTACTAAAACCGGAGTTATCTTTTTGTACAATTCATAGCCATCGAACTACCATTGGCAAAGTAAAGGTAATGTCAAAGCAAGTGGAGTGGAAGATATGGTTCTTCTGCCGAAGATCCAGGAGGCAGCGATCGTGGAGAATCTCAAGAAACGATACTTGGACGACCTCATTTTCGTATCCTTTCTATCAGTGTGAATGAGAATGCACAACTTTATTACAGCTTATGTCGTACACTAAGTAGTCCTCAATGGTCATCGTCTTTCCCTAAATCTGATCCTTAACGTTCCCTCTCGAATTTTACCTGAATATTTTCTTAATCAACATAAGGAAATATAAACATTGTCATCAAATTCTTGCATCGTGTGAAAGTTTTTAGACAAACAAATACAGCTACTTGCTTTCAGGAACAAAAGATAGTAAAGAAACCTGTTATCAGCTGCTCATCAATTTCCTTATCCGTCTAAAAAGGTTCCGAATGATTTATCAAATCGTTTTGAAATATTTATTTTGTATTTTAACATAGGTTTAATCCTTCTCTACTTTTATTTCCGTCCATTAAAGTGCGATCCTAGTTTCGGTACCTCACGCTGTGGGGCGTCTGCATTCAAAGTAAATTTTCGGATTCATTCCGGCATAATTTTGTAATCGGTTGATACAATTTCGTAGAACTTCGGCAGGAACAATTGGAATTATTTTGGGTAGTGACAGAATTTTCTCCGGCAAATGATACGTACATTTCGTAGGATTTTTACGTGATCAGGAAGGATAGACCGACAAACTGAGCAATTCAGCTCAAGCCAGACACGTAGATTAATCTTCAATATCCGTTACTACAGAATTCTGATGACTGTGACAAATTGGAGCTCACCCCAATATTTTTTAAATACCGTTAAATGATTTTTTAAATCACAGAGTTGCTATAATTTCTTCTTAATACACAGAAGGCCCATCCAGTTACACAAGATGTCATTATTTTTTAAACTTCTCAGAAATTTGGTTCTATCAGGTTTATTTTTAGTCCTCTCCTCTGGTTATGTGGATACCCTCGGGAGAGCAGTCAACTGAAACCACCTTAGATAGAGAAAGCTTGTTGGAATGTGCCTTTTTTTTCTAGTTTGTGCTCTCTAATTGGCTGGTATCAATTTGATAGACATATTGCTCTAGTGATTGATCTTGGTGTGACCTGCTAGTTTTGTATAAAATGCAATATGATCTGTGTAAGACAGATTTTGAACTTCTTCCTTGTTATTTGTTTACAGAATTTATAACAGAAACCAAAAGTTGTTGAACATAGAGCAATCTTTGGTTAATGTTTGAAACACAAATTTTAGGTTCCCAGTCTACAGTTTTTAAGGCTGTAGCAGATAGATTAGGATTTGAATCATTTTTAATCTGATTATTCTTTTCCACACACTCTTTGCTTCTGTTGCAAGAAGATGAATATGTTGAAAATAGGTGGAGAAAAATGGGTGCAGAATTGTTAAAAGTTTTCAAAGGGGGCATAGATATTGGTTGAACAGTGTATAGTGATTAAAATTTATTTAGAAGACATTGTAAACTTCTAAATCAAATGACCAAGCCACTCTGTTGTTATGTGTGTGCAGTTATTCATTGCTAGCCTTTTAGCACCTTAGAATGTAGTGAAGGTGCTCTTTGCACCACAAGGGGTGTGTCATTTGAATTGCAACCTTAACCCCTTTTGTTAGACATACATTGGTCCTGTTCTGATTTCTGTCAATCCATTCAAGCAGATGCCATACTTTACAGACAAAGAAATTGACCAGTATCAGGGAGCTGTAAGTCATAAATTAAAGTTATAAATTCTCCTGTAGGTCAACAACTGAACAGACTCAAACTCTCATTAATGCCAGTTTTGTAACCTTGTTATGGAATAAAGGGGAAGATGAGATTTTACTAGAAAATCTTTGTTTTGTGGCCCCAAAATAAAACTCCTTAGAATGAACTATTTGCTTAGTTACTTTTTAAGTTTTGATTAGCTTGGCCAGTAACATTTGTAATTATTTTGGACTAATCATGGGATTCCTGTATTTCAGGCATCATATGAAAATCCACCACATATATACGCCCTTACCGACAACATGTACAGAAATATGTTGATTGATCAGGAGAATCAATGCGTGATTATCAGGTAATAAATGTCTGTGAAAAGATTGTGGCCTTGTCAAGATTTCAAATTACATGTAGTTGGACTCAACTTTAAAAATCCTTTTGTGTGAATCAGAAACCCAATTCAGTTACTAGGTAAATTTGTGACATTATTCTTTTGGAGTGAAGCCATCCAATGGATTGCAATCAGGTCATTGAAAATGTAGCTAACTTTTGCTGAGGTTTTGACACAGGAAAATATTGCATTGGAAAAAGCCATTTGATTCTAGATAAACTTAACAAAAAATCTGAAATTCATTTAGTTTGCCATTAAAAAGAAGCAATTTAAAATACATTGAATTTATGCATTGAATTCCAAATGTGGGCCTGAAATAAAGTGCTTACTATTTCTGTGTGCTTATGTACTTTCTACGAATGTGTGTGTTTGATTTCCATTTTTTCAAGCCATGATTTCAATATCAATAGTGTTAAGATGTGATGCATTACAGTAATGCTTGTGTGGGTTACTTTTGTACAGTGGTGAAAGTGGAGCAGGAAAAACAGTTTGTGCTAAGTTCATTATGAACTACCTGGCTAAAGTATCTGGTGGAGGTCCAAGTGTACAGAAAATCAAAGATGTGATTCTTGAATCCAACCCTCTTTTAGAAGCTTTTGGCAATGCAAAGACTGTCAGGAACAATAACTCCAGTAGATTTGTAAGTCTACTGTATATTTAGACCAACTTAGATGAAATAATGAAAATGTGAATGCATTTCAATGATTAATGGCAGTAGGACCGAGCAGAGTCCAGTAATCAAAGGAGTGATTGTAAAAATTACAACAGAAGTCTGATTTGATAATAAGATTGATCAGGGACAGAATAGGACCACACAGAGCTCTCAATTAACTAAAACTCTGGCAAAAGTTGAGAACAAAATACCAGTACCCATCTGTTAAGTACATGCATAAATAGAAACAAACAGTTTACTTATTGTGAGGAAATGAACCCAACAATCCATGTAACAGGGCATGCAAGTGATGTGCATTGTCCAGTTATGGTATTTATTTGATTAAACACAAATCCTTTTGAATGTGCCAGTTCTGATGTCGAGAAAGCATATCCAACATAAGATCTTTATTCACTTTATGTATTGCAGCAGTATTAACATGCAGATTGTGAAATTAAGAAGGATATTAAAATTAAATGACTTTTTAGAAAAGCACCAAAACATGTTTCTGTTTTGGTCAGTTACCATACTATTGTTTGCAAGAAATAAATTTGATCTTTAATTAATGCTGCCCTTGTATAAATGCTGCACTCGAATAAACGTTTTACTTGAATCACGAAAAATTAATAAATGCTGCAGTTTTTAATTGAATAGATGCAGTAAACATGTATGACAATAACTGAACTGTCCCAAAACACCATTTGATTTAAAATGCAATGGGAACAATGTGTTTTTAGTCTTATAATAGGGCTTGTTATAACCAGTCAAATTCTATAATATATGGTAGTTTCCAAATGAATATAGTTTTGATCATTGCAATACTGTTTTCAATCCTTTTCACTTCCAGGGAAAGTATGTTGAGATACAATTTACAAAGGGTGGACAACCTGATGGTGGCAAGATTTCCAACTTCTTACTGGAAAAGGTTTTGAAAAATTTATTATTTGTAACATTAATTTTTCAACCCATTACACCTTAACAACATCAGTAAGTTCTCCTTACTGTTCTCTTTACATTTCTTGAAGTACTTAAAGGGAGAATTTGTCTTGCAATCAAGAGTCTATTGAGTTTGTGATCATTTCCTTTATTCTCGTGACCTTAATGTTTGACTCAGGGCTGATTCTGTTGGGAGAAATTAGATGCTTATCACTCTTCAGGTGCAGAGGGTTAAGTTGAGGATTTTGAATTCTTGGAGAATAATCTCAGAGAACAGCTTAACCATATTTCTCAATATTTGTCATCTGTAAATCAATATTTATAATGAATTATTAAAAGATGTTTGGTTGCTCTCCCCTGCAGTCTAGAGTTGTTAGTCAGAATCCATCAGAAAGGAACTTTCACATATTTTATCAACTAATTACTGGTGCTTCCCAAGAAGACAAAGGTTAGTGATGTGATTTGTTAGATTTGTGAGACAATTGTAAAATTCAAGGGTGATTACATGTTGCTGAAATACAGTGTAAATGATGCTGACAAAGTCTTCTTATTTAAAATGTCCTATTGTTGAACATAGGTCAGCTAGGTCTCACAGAACCAAGTTACTACTACTACCTAAATCAGAGTGGAACATACACAGTTGATGGTACTAATGATGTGAAGGAGTATCAAGAAACAAGAGTGAGCATTCATAATTTTGTTGTCAATCACTCTCGTGCTCTTGCCCTTTGGCTAAGTAGCATTTGAACTTACCAGTAATCAATTGTTGTAGAAATGAGGCCATGAAATTTTGTTTGTCCACCTACCTGTAAATTGGAAGAATTTTAAATGCCTCTCTATGGCAAGGTTGAACAGGACCAAGATTTTATTACCACACATAAAGGAATGAAGTTTCTTATTCTGGCAAGAGATTGTCATGGATTGCTTCAAAAAGAATGGTTGTTCTCACCAGCAATTAATCTAAGCTGTCTTGTGATCTTGTTTTGGAGGGGTCTTCTTCTCTTTTGATGTATGCAACATTGATGAGAATTCTGACAGTATTATTCTTTTATTTTTTTAGAAAGCAATGGATGTGATAGGAATATCTGATGAAGACCAAGGAAGTGTGCTTCAAATAGTGGCTGGGGTCCTTCATTTAGGAAATATTTCCTTTAATGAGCAGGGGAATTATGCTGTACCAAGTGATGAGGAATGTTAGTACAATACTTTTACTTCTAAGTATAAACTTGAAATGAGTATGATTATTAGTTGAGAAAGACACAGAAAAAGTTTCATGACAGATATTTGTCACAATAAAATAATACTGTTGTCAAGGGAAACCTTCCTTGTCTTGTTTCCAATGGTAACTGAATGTCAAGAGCTGTACGTCACCAATGTGAAAGCCCGCTAAAATAAGTCGGAGACTTGTTGCTACTGGAAACAGAGCCAATAATCTATGACAACAACACAATTTTAACATCAGAACATGGTCAAAAGACTTCAGTGGTGCCTCACTCAACTGGAAAACATAGTCAACAGATTTTTTCATTCTCAGAACACTGTAGCTTACATGTTTTGATATACATCTACTGGAAGTATTGATCAATTTTTTTCTCATGAGAGAGTAGCTGCAACTGCTGCTACTGCTAATCTTGTTCTGGCTTCTTGTTTGTTGACAGTCTTAGCTTATCCAGCATACCTGTTGGGTGTAAATGACATGTTATTAAAAGAGAAGCTGACCAGGTATGAAAACCGTTGTTATCATTATAGTTATTCATTAAATTTTCAAATAAATGAATCCTGAATTTGTAGTCAGTCAACTGAAAAGGTTGTATTGTGTTTTTTCAGTCGTGTGATGGACAGCAAATGGGGTGGAAAAACTGAAACTATCAACATGACACTGAATGTTGAACAGGTGAGGGAAAAGTCAGTTTTGGAGCCAGCTTAGGACATTAGTTAGGCCACTTGTTAACTGAACTTGAATTTCACAGACTGACTTGCTTGCAAAATAGATTAATATGCAAGCACGCAGAAATTATCTCAGATGCATTTTAGTCCATAAATGTCTTCACAGATTAGTGCCTTCATACTTACTTTCAGAGTTCAGGCACACGCACTTTTTCCATGGCCATAACACCAGAAGCCATGATTTGCTGTGTCCTCCCTCCGCAAAAACTGTTAAGTATCAGGGAAGCTTCAGAATAAATGGCACTCAGACTTTCAACACCCTTTCAAGAAACATTAGAGTAATGTAGTAGAGATGTTTAGCAAATTAAAAATCAAGCTAAAGTGCCATCTTAAACAGTAATGCTTGTGGTACATGTTGCCTTTATAACTTAATTATTTGTCTGCTTTTTAATTTTTTTGTTTTTGTGTTGTGTCAGGGCTCCATTTAAACTAGCTTGGTTAAATTGGATGCCCATGGATTAATAAAGAAATAAAATAAAATAAATCAGTAGTTAAATAAATGTTAATAATAGTGGAAAATGTTATGGTAGATGCATAGTACAAAGGTTTGTTTGGTACGTCTTGTGTTCAGTCAGATTTAATCTTGTCACGGTGAACTGGAAAGACTCCTTTGAAGAGTACTCATTTCTGATTTATCTTCTTTCAGGCTTGTTACACCAGGGATGCCTTATCTAAAGCTCTCTATGCAAGATTGTTTGACTTCCTTGTTCAGGTAATAAGTGGTAAATGATTGAAATATTTTTTGATGTGTCAGCTTTATGTGCTTTTAAAGGACTATAAAGAAATTGTATTTTACAAGACTCTTATGATTGGCTGTGTGAATGATTAGGTGTTCTAAGCTTATCAAATTTTTTTAAAATTAAATTCAAAATTTCAGATTATCATTTTTCTGGCTGTTGGATCCATGTAATGACAAAGCTATTAAAACAAATAATCCTTTTTGATATTGTGTTATATGCTTGTTATGGCAGTCTGTGAACAAAGCCATGCAGAAGCAAGTCGATGAACTGACAATTGGAGTACTTGACATTTATGGCTTTGAAATCTTTCAGGTAAACTAAGGTTTTTTTGATTCATATGAACTTAAAGAATTGAATTGATGTCATGACACTGTTTGTCTGACAATAGTCTTTCATACAAGGAGCAATGTGGATGTTTACACATTCTAGCTAACATGATATGTAGTAAGAATGATGGAAAGTGTCCTAATTTTTGTTTTATTGCTGATTTTGAACTCAACCTTTTAGAAAAATGGATTTGAACAATTCTGCATCAACTTTGTCAATGAAAAGCTTCAACAAATCTTCATTGAGTTGACGCTGAAAGCAGAGCAGGTGAGTTTTGAAGCACAAGACAGTGCCTTCAGTATGTCATGTTATATTTAATTACATTGAAGTTGTTTTTTGTTAATTTAATCCAATGAACTGCTCTGGGTGCTGATAAATTTTGCATACAAACTCACGTGCTCTTACCCCAATCATTATTTGTCATTAATTGTTATTCTGTAGTCATTTGCCTTATGTGTATTTAATAATTACATGCAAATTAACGTTCTGTTGTAGGAAGAATATGTGGAGGAAGGAATCAATTGGAGCCCAATTGATTATTTTAACAACAAAATTGTTTGCGATGTAATTGAGAGCAAGGTAAGCCCCCCTTTTTTTCTTTTGTCATTTAAAAAAAATTATAAATGGATTGTGGGTTCCAAGGTCTGGTAGTGGAGTCCTTCTAAAGTTAATTGGTAATTATATTTTTTACATTGATAGAAACCTCCTGGTATTATGTGTGTTCTGGATGATGTTTGTGCAACTATGCATGCTGTTAGTGAAGGAGCTGATGCAACTCTTCTTGAGGTATTTGGGGCACATGTATAATAAACTGTGTAGTATCTTAATCCTCGTTACCCTGACATCAGTATGCGTATTATCTATATTGTTCTCTGTACATATTCTGAAGTGCTGAAAAGGAGAATTTTTTGTAACACTCAAAAGAATTTTTAGTTGGTGATCATTTCTGTTATTCTTTTTACCTTTGTGATGCATGGATGATTTTTTAGGGAGAAATTAGATACTAGTCACTGTAAAGGATCTAAGGGTGATGATCAGATAGCCTTGAATCTTTGGCACCTCTGTACCAATTGGGAACACCATAAATAAATATCAACAATTTAACCAAAAGTAATACACATTTTATAACAACTGAGAGTAGACAATTTGGGTGGTTATTTTTTAAGTGCAGTGAAAGAATTGAACTCAGAACATACAAGTAAAGAAAAAAAATTGCACCGTATTTTTTCCTCTAACCTCAAGTTTTCAAAACCAGTGCCCTAAACTATTCTGTCATGCTTTCTCCTCCTGCAAAGCCTGTAGCTTTGAAAACCTTTTCCAGGGGCACTGGGTTAAAGAAGAACTGCTCATTTTACCCTGGATCCCCCTAAGAGTGACCAGCATTTAATTTCTCCCTACTGCAAAACTGCTCAATTAAACATTAAGGTCATAAGAATAAAGAAAAAGATTGCCAAGCTAAGAAGCTTTGATTGTTAAACAAATTCTCCTGGTCAGTACTAAAGGAGATGTATGGAGAAGAGTATAGAGAATTTAGATTCTGATGTCAGGGTGTAAAGGGTGAAATGTCTGTTAAAGGTAACTTAAGTTGAACTTATTATAAGAATCTAATCATGTTATCATGACTTTTTTGAAGAATTTAACAATGAATAATTCTTTTTTTTTTCAGAAACTGAATAATGCAGTAGGGACACATCAACACTTTCAAGGTGTCAGTGGAGGGTTCATAATCCATCACTATGCTGGAAAGGTATTTAAGATCAGTCAGAATATACATGCAAATATTTTTTTTACAAGTATAAACATTTTAGGTTTTTTGATAAAATGAAGTTTCTCTCTAAGATTCACATTGTTTTTCAGGTAACGTACGATGTTAATGGATTTTGTGAAAGAAATCGTGATGTTCTTTTCAAGGATCTCATTGAGCTGATGCAGACAAGTGAAAAGTGAGTTTTCTGGAATTGTTTCTAGTTCTCTAATTGACAGCAGGACTTACAAGCTAAATAAATAACATGCATAAAGTTTGTTTTCACCGCACTTGTGGATTTGCAGCTCGGTTGGCACTTGCAGGTTATAGAGGGTTTAGTAGACAACACTCTTAAAGGGACATATTTTGCAGCTCAGAGTTGTGTCTTATGTAAATTTGATTCAGGTTCTTTTTTTCTCTTGTGTCCTTGCAGCCCTTTCATGAGAAATCTTTTCCCTGAGGATGTCAGTACCGACAAACGAGGAAGACCCACAACAGCTAGTAATAAGATCAAGGTAAACACACCTTTGCAAGAATTATTGAAAAAAAATAAGGTTTCTATTTGAAATAACTAGCTAGTGGAATGATCTTGTAGATAAATAGAAAAGGAAATTCCATGGAACTGTTATAACTGCGGCTACAGAGGGCCAATACAAATGTTGCAGTTCGCAAATTTGAAAAAATAGAATGCACCTCAATGTTGCTGAAGAAGAATGTTTTTTCGTCTTGTCTTGAGCGTGGAACAAAGAGTCTCAATGAAGAATCGAACCTCGCACCTTCGCATTCCGCTCTCTGATGCTCTACCTCTGAGCCACAGGAACTTTAGGGTGTGCTAGGCTAGTACAAGGTTCTTTTGTAACACGCGACCTGTTCACTACGACTGGAAATGTCGAAAGCCTGGTGTTAGTTAATAGAATAAAAAAGATGGTGAATTTTTACGTACGTTAGTGAAATGAGGAAGGATGATTTCTCTTCTTACCTTGAGCATGAAACACAGCACAAATATCTCAAGTTACTAATTTTTCCGTGAAGTGGCCCTATTTAGCTTTAACACATCACTGTTCATTGCCTATTTTACAGACACAAGCCAATCTGCTGGTAGACAAACTCATGAAGTGTACTCCTCATTACATCCGCTGCATTAAACCAAATGAGAGCAAAAAGGCTCATGACTGGGAGGGTGACAGAGTGAAACATCAGGTGGAGTACCTGGGACTGAAGGAAAACATCCGCGTCAGAAGAGCAGGATTTGCCTACAGAAGACCTTTTCAGAAGTTCCTTGATAGGTGAGTGTGTCGTAAGACCAGTGATTTTGATGAGAATCTGATTAGAGGTTGAGGAAGTACATAAAAATTTTTATTTGATTTGTTTGAAATTGTCGATAATTGCAAGGAAACTTTTCAAAAGAAAGTTTACCGAGCGAAGACAAAACCGAAAAAAGAGATCAACACAACAGGGAGCAAGGATGGTTTAAGGTGGAGAAAATTAACACAGATTGCATATGAAAAAAAAATTGAAAATTTTTCCTATTGCTTTTAAAATACTGGACGTACCGGTAGTTCCTGATTTATGACCACGTCTTCCCACTCATTGTTTCAGATGTCCTGAATGCGCATTTAGCTTCAACCTTTTCAAGGGCTTCTTTGTTGTTCACCTCGCGAATTCAAAATTGATTTTGATGGTTACAGATTTAACGATGAATTCAACTGGTAATATTATTTTTTTTTAATCTGGTCGCCAGATATGCTATACTTACCAAAGAGACTTGGCCGCGGTGGAATGGTGACATGCGGAGAGGAGTGGAGCATCTGATGAATGCTGTCAACATGGAGCGCGACCAGTGGCAGATGGGAAAAAGTAAAGTGTTCATCAAAGCACCTGAATCGGTGAGATATTACTCGTAATTTCAATGCTTTTTTCAAGCAAATAGGTGATGAAAATAAACGAACTTATGCGCTTGAGAGCAGCGCTAGAAACTGTAACCGTTGGAGTCTGCTGTTACTAATAATTCGTACAGGAAGTCATTTTGCCAAGTCCTCTAATCCATATCTGACTCTTCTTTACTTGAATCAAGCTGTTCTTGCTTGAAGAATTGAGAGACAGAAAGTTCGACGGTTACGCCAGAAAGATCCAGAAGGCTTACAGAATGTACAAGTCAAGGCAATACTTTGCCGAGCTCAAACAACAAGGTAATCTTTCGTCTGTTCCCCATGATATTCCCAGTGACTGCGCTGGTTTGGCTTATGTATTGTCTTTCCTACATATATATTCTATTTGAAGAGCTTGACTCTCATTTTTACCGGACGTGGTGTGTCAAGCTTACAGTAGCCCATCTAACTTGCTTTGTGCCGTCGTTTCAGCATCAGATATCCTGTTCAACAAGAAAGAGAGACGAAGGTTTAGCATCAACCGCAATTTTGTGGGTGATTACATTGGTTATGATAACAACCCTGCCTTGAGGAGTTTAGTCGGTATGAGTTGTCTTCGACTCTCGTCAGATTTTGTTTTATGGATTGCCTTGTGTGTTTTTTTTTTGCTTCATAGTTTGAAGAGTAATGTCTTATTTCTGATACTATCTTTTCCTTCAGAAAAGCGAGAGAGAATTGAATTTGCAGTCACAGTGAACAAATACGACAGAAGATTTAAGGTATAGTGTTTATGATTTTTAGCATAGTTTATAGTTTTTTGTTTTCAAAATGATTAAATTCTCGTGTTTATCAAAACTGCTCATCCTTTTTGTTACGATACTAAAGCTGAATGAAATCCTCTTTACAGGCAATGAAACGGGACCTTCTGCTCTCAAGCAAACATATTTACCTTATTGGAAGAGAAAAGGTAATTGTATAGTAAAAAAAATGATAACTTTACCATACATATACGTCGTGTGTCTTGGGATCAGAATGGTTTTCATTGGAGAGAAAAGGAGATTCGCTGCATTGTTATTTCAGTTATGCTCTTTCATTCAGCTCATGAAATGCAACATAGCTTGCAGCGCTTGGCGCATTCCGATTTTGTTTGTTGCTTCTACTTCTCGTGGGCAAATTGTGAAAATTTGGTAACAGAGCATAGAAATTGTATTTTTTGAAGAAGAAGACAGCGATTTTTTTTCAAGAATCCAGTTCATGTTTCTGATCCTGAGCTCTCATTAGGATTCAAACGCATCAGCTCGTTCAAATGCTATATGCTAAAATGCTGTATATCTGCGTAGTGGGGAATTTATGTTAAGTTAATTCGTCCATGAACGTTGCCGAAGACATATAACATTTCCCCTAACTTGGAACTTTCAGGTGAAGAAAGGACCCGAAAAGGGTAAAGTTTATGAAGTTGTAAAACGGAAACTGGAAATGAAAAGCATAGGATCTGTGTCACTTAGGTAAGTGCAACTGAGATATGTCCAGTCACGACAGTCAATGATTGATCAAACTAAGGCATGCCTCTCTACCGTTGATGTCCTTCGCAACCTTGCATTGGATGTCGCATGACGCACCCCCCCCCCCCCCCCCCCCCCGCCGCTTTCCACCTCCAAGAAGAAGGAAGAGTGTTGCGTGACACCCCGAAAGACGGATAAGAAAGGAGACTAGCGTACCGTCCAGCGCCAATATTCACAATATTTCAATTTCAATTTGTCATCTCTCTTATTCTGTTTATTTCAATTTTCGTCTCCAGTCCACTTCAAGATGACTTCATTATTCTTCATATCCCAGGGGAATATGACAGTGTTCTGGAAACTGTGTTCAAAACTGAGTTTTTAACTCTTCTGTCATCAAAGTATCAAGACTCTGTCAACCGTCAGCTTAAAGTTGACATTGCCAGCAGGTATGATAAACATAGCGTTTAACGTTGAATTTAAGCGAAAGAGCAAATCTTTAATGTTGGAATATGGTTCTTGGTTTAATGGTGATCTTGTGAATCCAATTGAGTGACTTTCAATCGAGTATCGATTGTACAGCGGTGTTGCATTGAGTTTGCCTTCGCTCTGTGATTGGTCGGGAAAAAAAAACCTGCCACCTTTTCAACCAATCAGATGTAAAACCAAAACCAATTGCAACTCAGCCACTCCCATTTTCCAGCGCTTGAGGCAGCTGGCTCTTTTTCACCTTAAGTTCCCATTGGTTTCGGTGACATTTGTATGTTGTAACGGCAATGTTATTTTCCGCATAAAACGGATCGGATTTGTTAAAGTCTGATTTTCTCCCATTCCTTCTTGTATCGGCTGAGTACGTTACATGTGTAGCGAGAACCCGAATAGATAGGTACCGATTGTACTAAAGGACATTTAGGTACACCACGATGATCACTGACGCATCATCTGCGTAGCACTGGACTGAGGGTTTGTCTAAGCAAACTTACGTCCAGTAAGAATTATTCCTATTGACAATTTTAACTGTCTTCTTTTTCTATTTCAGCATCACAGTGACAGTGAAGAAGGAGGGCTGGGGAGGAGGCGGAACACGTTCCTTAAACTTCTTCTCGGGTGGTTCTGACGTCCCTGTCCTGAAGCCCAGTGGCAAAACACTCGGCGTCTCCATTGGACCAGGTCTTCCGAAGGACACTAGTAAGTAATTGAAAGAGGAGAGGTCAAAAGAGCTTCCTTTGTATAGACCTTTCTCTGGACACTGTCCTCGTGCCTAAAGGACAGTTCGCCCTTCCCCACTCCCCTCTTCAAAGTATTTCCTGATATTTAGAATCACAGCTCCTTTTTAAGAGCTTTTCGATGAAATGTCGTTAAACCAAAACAAAAGTAATCTCACTGCTCAATCAGAACAACGGAAATTATCACAAGGATCAATAAAAATTCATAGTAATCGTAATTGGTTTTAGTTTTGTATTTCATGGATTGAGAGGGTTGCGTGACCTTTCTAGACTAATCACAGAGCGAAGTAAAGCAAAATCAAAGCAATCGCAAATTTCTCTCGACCCTTAATCGAAACTTGCTCCTTAAGATCGTTAAAGGACAAATATGTCTAATTGTTGGTAATTTGTAACAATCAGTCCCTTTTTTGACTAATACAGTCGAAGCTGTATTAAGCGGCACCGTATTAAGCGGTCAGTTGTCAAAGTCCTGAATTTATTTGTGATTTTCACCTCTATTAAATGCTCACCTTTATTAAACGGTCGCGGTCACTCTTGACTTAGTTCCAACGGCATGTTCTTATTGTCCTCCACCTGTCTTGAACGATCACTGAAAGCGGGACCACTCAAATAAAATTAGGAATAATCTTTCAAGTAATTTTTAATGTTCCTCTCCCAAAGTCAAAGTAAGTCGTCTTTTCAAGCCAGATTCTGTACTTTGAGTGGTCAATTATGTCGTAAAGTGGCGCTTTTTTTAATCGTTTTTTTATAATACCCCCAATCTGTGGAGTCTGTATTAAGTGGTCGCCAAGCGATTCCCTGTGGGTGACCGCTTCATACAGGTTCGGTTGTGTTCAGTCTCAATGTCGCAGTGAGGGGTTCATTTTACCTCCATGGAATATCTAGAAATGACAACTATCGTTTGTTTCAACAGGACCAGGTCGCCAAGCACACGTCGGCTCTAGCCCAAGCAAACCACGTCGAGCAGCCCCAGGGTACTCCTCTCAACAGCAAGCGTCCAAGCAATCTCGCGGCAGGACATCGTCAAGTCTCAAACGATTTGCAGCAACCCACAAACAGCCGTCACTTCCAAGATCAGGTGCTCAGCACTTGGCGCGAGGACCAGCTAACATCGATGTTCGACAACAGGAATTCATGCGAACACCTGAGTCAGGAGTTTGTGGGTGAGTTTGTCATTCTTTTTGTCCACGAAAACACGTCTTACCAGTTGAGTTCTCAGTCTGTGCCTGTAAGTACGGGACGGAGGTTTTTCCAGTCGGATTTAAGGCCCAAGTGAGAAGCGAGCCAAATTCGGACAGAAAAAACGAGGCTCCTTAACTTACAATACGGACTGAGGGAACGAAATTAGTGAGGTATTTATTATATCTCTGAGTTCAAAAAGAGGGGGAGGTATAATACTTTATAAATCAAGCTCAAAAAGGAAATGGATCAAGTTAGAAAGACTTGTTCTATATTTGACCTTCGTAGGAATTACTGCATTCTTGAAAGCAGAACGCGAAGATGCGGTGATTTCTAGTGAAGACACTTTGAGAAAAGAGTAAAGTTGTGTTTGTTTTAAGTATGAATTTATGCTTTCAAACATAACGCGTCGTAAAGACGATGTTACGTGCAATTATTTGTCGAAGCCACTTTTGAGTAGAATTTCCAGGAAAACAGTGCTATAGAACTTCGTATTACACGACATAAGATACAGTAAACTTACGTGGCTCATTTTAACTACAGCACGAATTGACGACCTAATTGATTTTACGAAGTCACCCGAGGATTGAAAGTCATTGTAAGGACATCGCTAACGTGTATTCGAGACCAGTTGCACCTCCAAGGACAACGGTTTTAACTATTACATTCGATCAGTTTTTGCATGTAACATCGTTTGGGAATTCAAAGTTGTTTCATGATCATAGAAAGAATGAGACACGCAAAATAATTCCTGCTTTTAATGCATTGTAGAACGTTTTTCGATTGAGTGTTTTAAATTTATTGCTCTCTGTGATAAGTTCACAAAACTTGCGTTACCCTGCCAGCCAGTCAGTGCACATGTTTATTTTTTTTCCCGCGCTTGAAGCCATTTACTTGCCATTTACTTACTCTGGGTCCTCACTGGCGTTATCTACCTAGTTATGGCTGCCCGTGGCGAGTGATAATCTTGGTTCTCGTTTGAAGGCACTCGATCGAAAAGCGCTCCACACAATACCTATTGTTTCAGTTTCATAGGTAGTCGGGTTAAGAAAGTCAATCCGAAATAGAGTGGGGGGTGGTGGGAGTGAAAGGAGCCGGGGGGGGGGAGGATTTGGAGTTGAGGGAAGAACCGTTCATACGCAGAGTAGTTTTGCATGCTGATCAGAGTTTACGCGGGGAATTATTCGATTAGGGGATTCTCAACAGCAATAACCTTAAAATTCTTCCCAGTCTACCGAAGAAGAAATCCGGTGGTTCACTGTTTTGTGTTGTTTCGCTCTCTGTAGTTAATGTGCTGTGCTCCAAGTGCTTTTGTCAGTAATGTTTGTGTGTGTTGGGGATAAATTGACCAAAAAAATTCAAACGAAAATTAATTTATTTTCATTCGTCACTCATACGTGCTAAGACCCTTTGATTAGCGAAAGTAAAATTTTTTTACCATAAAAAAATTAAATCGCAACAATCAACTCTCCATTTTTAGGGACTCAAACGTGCCAAAAACACTCTTATCTAAACAAAATTAAGAATGAATCGTCAATTTTTAAATTTATCCAAACACAACACAGTAAAAAGCCTTGCTAACATCTCATGCTGCATTGAGATAGAAGCAGTTAGGTCACTGTGATTACATGAAGTAGCAAACTCTGCAGGATAACTTCATTAAATTCACAACCTTTAAACCATAAACAGATTTAATCGCATGAACCCACCTCCTCCTGTCTCAACTATAAGAAGAGGAGCTCGCGCATACGAGACTTACCCAACACCTACCGCTGGACGACACGGGCCTGTAAATTACCCTCACCACATGAATCACGCTGCGTCTGTCCAGTTCGGCGATGGCTCAAAGCATTCTAGAAGAATTCCTGAGCAGCTGGATCCAGCCGTCTATGGACAGTACAGGAAAACAAGACACCCTCTCAATGGGCAGAACGCGCAGTATAATCCAGCAACGTTAAGTCGTACGTCTGATGACGGAAAGAGGAGGGTCAGTTTTGAAGACGACTATGTGGACGCTGCGAGACGGCAAACCGGGTATAAGACGGTACAGCGACCGCGTTCAGCCAACATCACTTCCCAGAGGGAGAGGATGTATAGTTCAGCGGCTAATGAGGCTCCAGATTCAAGGTCGCTTCGGGAAGGAGAAACACAACGTGATCCTTACGTGAGGGAAACTGCAAGGCAAAATGGATACAAAACTGTCCAGCGCCCACGCTCTGCGACACTTGCCTCACAGCATGAGAACAATTACAGTAAAACCAACGGTCAACAAAGAATGCAGTGGGCTGGAGCTGCTCATGATACCTCGAGACAATCAGACCAAGGTGGGTATAGTCGGGCAGGGTACCATATGAACCACGCCCCTCAACAGAGCTCGCCCCGATCGGACATATCTCCCCATTCTGGTAGTGTCAAACCCCAGGGGACGGGGTATGTAGCAGACTACAGAGCTAGGAGTGCTTCTCATGGTGCTGAGTACACAAACACAAGGCGCCAGCAGACCAGGGCGCCGCATGACGGATACGAACAGATGAGTCCAATCAATTACAGCCAAGCCAATGGGCAAAACGGGCAGCATGCGTATGTTCCAGCCCCGGAGTATCCTGGGTCTGCAGCGGGATCACATCAGCGTGTTCCGGATGAGGTCAACTATAGAGCGCAGAACGTTGTGCAGCAGCAGAGAACAGCGTTTAGAGCAGGACAAGCCCGACGTGGCACTGTCCAGCAAGGCTATGAGGAAATGGCACCTTTGCATCATACCTCTGCTGCTCCACAAAATGGGGCAGGTCCCCAGCAGAGTGGAACACCATACAGTACTGCAGAAAGGCGAAAGAGAGGAGGCACACGGTACAATACGAATGGAATACCGTACAGTATTGCAGATGCTCGGCAGAATGATTTGCCGCACAGTGCTGTCACAACTCAACATAATGGAGGAACCACAAACCATCAGAATGGGATGCCGCACAGAGGAGGCACAGGCCATCAAGCTGAACTACCCTACAGTACTGCTATGGACCAGCGGAATGGCATTATGTACGGAGCTACCACCAACCAACAGAATGGGATTCCGTACGGGGCTGCAACCAGCCGACAGAATGGGATGCCGTACGGGGCTCCAACCAGCCGACAGAATGGGATGCCGTACGGGGCTCCAACCAGCCGACAGAATGGGATTCCGTACGAAGCTGCCACCCTCCAACAGAATGGGATGCCGTACAATGCGTCTTCCTGCCAATGCGAAGATATTCCTTACAGCACTGGTGCCAGTTCCCGGAACAATAACCCCTACAGTGCAGCTCACAACCAGCAGAATGGAGTTCAGAATGGTCTCCCTTACGGTGCGACCACGACTCAACAGAAAAAACAACCCACTATTGCCGCTGAAATTCGACAGCACTGTATGTCGTACAGCACTGCACCATCTCAACAAAATGGCGCATCGTACAGTGTGGCATCTACCCATCAGAATGGTTCGTACACCGCCACACATCACAGTCAAGAAGGTATCCCCCAAGGCAAAAGTGAGACTCCACAGCAAAATAGCTATGATGGTTATGACGGTACGTCCGACAGCGAATTTGATGACACTGATGATGATCAGCTCAATGAGTATGTCAATCTGAGGACGTGGCACGATGGCGAAAACGGGTCTAACAGTCCAACTAATCAAGATGATAGGTGAGCTAACACACCTCTAAACGGTTCTTAAACCTTAATTTTAATCTACTGAAGAATCTGATCATTAAATCCTAAAAAATCTCTAACCGTGATCGACTGAACAGTGTGAGGGCGCCTTTCGTGGATAAAATTGGACCAGGATCAAGATTTTGAAGAAAGATCACTTGGGGCATGGTACATAAAGGTTTTTTGATTCAGTGTCTTAAAACTAAATGCAAAGCTATTACGACGATCAAAAAGTACAGATACAGTCGTGGGAAAACGGGAGTGACCAAGAAGCGATAGTAATCGTTTAAATCAGATTGGCTTAGAGAATGCTGAAATGTTTTTCAACCGGTGACGGTGCGTGGGAAAGCAAAACAAAAGACCAGAATATTCCCGGTTTGCTTAGTCTGTGACTCTCACTCCAAAATGGATTCGCAAATTTCTTTTGATTCTCGATCATCCATCCCATGTTGGATCGTAAAAATCTTGATCCCTATCCTCACAAAGGAGCGTACCCGTGAACTAACTTTCTATCTTTTTTTTCTATCTTTATTAACAACTTTTGACTTTCATAATGTGATTGAAATCTAAATATAACCCCAGACTACCTCATGTAACGCGAAAGAAATCTTCTCCTTCCCAGGCATTGTGTATCTTTGAAACGCAACACGTTCCCCTCGTAGGGTGGT